TTGATTAAGTGGTATATAAATGGCATATAATTGTGGTTATATTTAATGACAAATTGTAGAAATAAAGTAAGAAATCAGCTAAGATAGCTTTATTCTTCCTCCTTCCTCCTTTTCTCCTTCTCCTTTGCTTCCTTTTCCTCCTCTTCTTTCTCACTTCTAGGGTTTGAACTGACTGTGAGGAACTTTTCCTCCCTAGGCAGTACTCTACAACTTGAACCCCCTACCGTCACCCATGTATTTTGGAGCAGACTCTCCTTATGTACCCCAGACTTCTGATTTGTCTGCCCAGTGCTATGATTATAGACCTGGGCTCTGTGTCTACTTGCTCTCTCTTTTGTTGTTGTTGTTGTTGTTGTTGTTTTGGGTCTGGTAGTGGGGCCTGAACTCTGGGCCTGGGCGCTGTCCCTCAGCTCTTCAGCTCAAGGCTCGCGCTCTACCACTTGAGCCACAGCGCCACTTCTGGCTTTTTTCTTTTTGCTTATGTGGTACTGAGGAATCGAACCCAGGGCCTCATGCGTGCAAGGCAAGCGCTCTACCACTGAGCCACCTTCCCAGCCCCTCTCTCTTTTTTTTTTAATTGTTGTTTTTTTTTTGTATTGGAGTTTGTGCCTTGCCTTTGCTAGGCAAACATTCTACCACCTCATTCTACCACCTCATTCTACCACTGATACTTTTACCATTCCTTCTCAGTTTTTGTTTTTTCTTTTTCTTTTTTTGAATGAAGTTTCATGTTTCTGCTTGGTGCCAGCTTTGGACTGCCATCCTCCAACCTGTATCTCCTACGTTGGGCTTATTCATTGAGATGTAGTCTCTTGAACTTTTTGCCTGGTCTGGTCTACCTTTCAGGTATGTGGTATTATGAATGTGAGACACCAGGCCTGCAAACTCTGTTTTTTTCAGACCAGCTTAGCCAATCAAAGACCATTTACAAATTAAGTGAAACTTTTCCTCATATATCAAAGGTAGCCAAGTCTGCTCCAAAAGTTTAATAGTCTCCTCCTAAGCTATTAAATGAGAATGTAGGGCATCATAGTTATCAGTTTAGGAATCCTGGCTAGAGTTTGGAGGATCTCTTTCTTTCTTTTTCTTTTCCAGTTTTGTGTTACTTGACTTGTTTGGTGTTATTTCTGTGGCTGAGCGCAGAACAAGGGATGACACCTGTCTCTCTCACTTTCAACCTTCTTCAGTTTTCACCTATCCAAGGCCAGTAGAAGGCCTTCAGCTGCTTGATAAAGAAGCATTTCCAGACTCTTACTTTCTCTCACCCTACTCCACATATTGCCAACCACAATTCCACACTTCCTATCACCATCTGTGAGAAGTCTTTGCATTTGGCAGCCCTGGGGTTGTTTTCTGTTTATATGTTTAATGTTCATTATAAAGATGTGTGGAAATATTGAGCTTGTTATCTGTAGTTCTTTGTTTCACAGCTATCAGGCATGTTATTCCTGAAGCACTTTGGAGGCCTGCTCTGTTTTTCTTTCTTCAAATTGACGCCTTCCTCTTTTATTGTCTTAAGACTTAGGGTGTTGACCCTGCAAATGGCCTGTGGGAGGTTTGAGCCCGATTAAGGGGATGTTATTGACTAACAGGAGGCTTTTGGGGAAAACAGTTTATAAAAGCTGTCAAGAATACATCAGTGTGCTAACAGCTGAGGAGAAAGAGGACTGGCTGGAGACATATAAGGCTCTTCTTGCTGGGTGAGTTTTCCTGGATGCAATTCAAAGATCCACATGACTTCGGGGAGAAAAAAGGGCTACAGATACTTCTGCCCTGTAACGTGAGTCTATCTTGATGAAAATAGCTCAAGTTCAAAGCACAAACACAGCTATTGGACATTCCTTGCTGATGACCTGCTGCCCCCATCTGGAGACATTGGGAACTGAACTATTTTAGCTCATTTGCATCTTTGGTCTGCATCGCCTTGGCTGTCTCACCCAAAGGTGTTTTGCCACAGTATGAAGAAATGTCTGAATACAATCAGCAGTTTATTCAGTGAGTTGACTTCGAGTAACACCAGAATCTTTTTTTCCTTTCCTGGCTGGAGGATGACTCTTCAGTTTTGTAAGAAGTCTCTTCTGCTTCATCTTTTCTTCTATGAAAAGGTTTAAGTAAAAGCCCCTTGGCAGCCTTGGACTAGCAAAGTGTTCTCTGACTTGGCTTCCTGCCTGACTAGTCTTGTCCTTAAAAGGAGGAGTTTGGACTTTTGATTTCTAAGTTCCCTTGGTGTCTGATACCATTAAAAAAACATTTGCTGGTGAGAAGTATCTACTTAGCCTAAATAAATTCTTTGATATTAAATGAACTTTCCCTTTTAATGACAAGATTTCTGGGGTGGAGAGGGGGAAATGAATGTGCTTGGAGTGGAGGCTGAATTGCAAGACATTTTCAAAGTAGAAAACCTACCACTAGGAGGCAGTGTTGATGTGGCGTTCACTTACAGGAAGAGCTTCACTATATACTTCTCCCAGAGAAATTATTTTCCAAATCATCATGGAACTGTAACCCCTCTGTACATCACCTTCATAATATTATACAATGAGTTAAAAATATCTTCCAAATCAAAGACTATAGGAATGACTAAGGGTTACAATAATCTCTGTGGTGATAAAGTTCTAAAACTTATAGTAAAGGGATATGCATATTTCAGAGTGTATAGTTTATTCTTATTTTACCTGAAGAATATGCAACATTTGAGAGGTGCTGGTTTGACTCTTCTGAAGCAGCAACTAGATGATTAAATCTTAGAAAGAAGGTTCTAGAATTTATGTTCCTGTTAAATACTGCTATCTCCTTTAAAATTCCAGCATACCTATGAAGTAAGTAGCATTGTTACTCTGTTAATAGAGCAATTGAGGTATAGAGATTCTGTGCAGGACTAAAACTGCAGTACTAAGATAGAGATCAAATTAAGATAATCTCATTGCTATTTATTTATTTGTGCCAATCCTGGAGCTTGAACTCAGGGCCTGGGCACTGTCTCTGGACTTTGTTTCCCATGGCTAGAAATGTACCACTTGAGCCACAGCTCTACTTCTAGCTTTTTTTTGGTGCTTAGTTGGAGATAAGTGTGTCATGGACTTTCCTGCCTGGGCTGGCTTTGAACCATGATCCTCAGATCTCAGCCTTCTGAGTAGCTGGGATTTATAGACACAAGCCACTGGTGCCTGGTGCTTTCCTTTCCTAATAGTTGAAAAAAAATTATAATTCAACCGATCCAGGAATGTTGTCTTTTTTGTTGTTGTTGCTGTTCAGTCTTATTTTTGTCGGTCCTGGAGCTTGAACTCTGGGCCTAAACGCTGTCCCTCAGCTCTTCAGCTCAAGGCTAACGCTCTGCCACTTGAGCTACAGCACTACTTCTGAATTTCTGGTGGTTTATTGGAGATGAGTTTCATGGCCTTTCCTGCTCAGGCATGTTTTGAACTGCAATCCTCAGATCTCAGCCTCCTGAGTAGCTAGGATTACAGGTATGAGCCACTGTGCCAGCTCTTTTTTATTTTTGAGGGGACTGGGTGTTACTATGTTACTCAGGCTGGCCTCTAACATCTGGGCTCAAGTGATCTCCTTCTTGTATCTGGAGGAGCTGGAACAAAGGCCCATGCTTCTGTGCCTGGCTATAAACTCCTTTCCAGCACATCAAAGGTAGCCATTTTTATTCTAATACTCCTGTATCTTCAAGCATGAGCTCTCATAGAAGAGTATATACTACTCTCAATCTAAGAATCCTGGCTAGTGTTTAGGAAATGTCCATTTAAAAAAATGGGTACCAGTGGCTCACACTTACGATCCTATTGACTCAGGAGGCTGTGATCTGAGGACTGTGGTTCAGTGCTAGTCCTGGCAGGAAAGTTTGTAAGACTCTTTATCTCTGATTAACTACTGAGAAGCCAGAAGTAGAGCTGTGACTAAAGCAGGAGAATGCTAGCAGTAATCAGAAAAGCTCAAGAACAGTATCTAGACCCTGAGTTCAAGCCCAGAACTAGCACACACACACACACACACACACACACACACACACACACACACACACACACACACACACAAAACTATAACTATAGTATAAGCCAGGCTCACTGCATTTGATGGCTAGAGATTAGGTCGGCCCAGTTTTGAGTAGCACGAGGGTTACTCTTTCCTCTTTACACTGCTTAGCAGTAGGAGTAAGTCAGGAAATGGAGAGCTGGCACCCCCAGGACTCTGAACTATAGATATTTATGGCAAGTCTCATATGACTTTCTTATAACTATACCCTGGAAAATCCCATATCTGAATTGTCCAACAGTAGTATTTTGCAAATTGCAGGTCAAAACCATCAATGGGCTCTAGAGATATAGCACAGTGGTAGGGTGCTTACCCAGCATGCACAAGGCCCTAACATCAGTCCCAGCACTATAAAAAAAAAACCCAATTAGCTATTAGTGTCATAATAATCAATTTGAAGGGTCTTAATCAGCATGTTTTATTAATGAAATAGGATGGAAAGGAATAGAAAATACCAGAATGAATCACACATTTTGTTTCAGAGGCAATGTGTTACATGTTCCACTGGGCCATTTCTTGCTAGGGGCCATGTTCAAAAGAGCTTGGGAGCCATTTCCTATGGTGCCTTATCTATTCCCAGCAGGTTGCTGTGTCATTTATGACAGTTTGAGCCTCATCCTCCTTGCATGTAACTTCATGAAGTAAGATTACTGTTTGAATCATGTTTCCCTTCCTGCAGTGACTTCTGCCATGCCTTACATTTGATGGTCACTTAGGAAACTCTGTAAGACTTGCTGTATGCTTTCCTGCTGTGGTTTCTAAGGAAACTTCTAACACATACTTTTAGATTTGTCAAATACTGTTTGTAATTCTGTTTTCTTCTGCTCATACCAATTCTGTGTGTCAGCTGTGCATCAGCTTGTGTCAACACAAACAATTACATTTTAATCATCTTTTCCTTATTTCTGACTATTGTGGCCTAAACACAGCGGATATGACCAAAACTAGTTGTGTGTTGG